CCTACGGCCCCAGCGGCGACGATCCCATGCATCCGCGCCACCCATATCGGCATAATTTTCATTCTGTTCGTGGCCCATAGGGGAGCACCGTGGCGGACCTCATCCTTCTCATGCCTCCTCCTTTTCCTCTTCCTTCTTCTCCTCCGTCTCATCATCGCGACTAACTCTTCAACAGTCCTCCTTTCAGGACCACCTGCACGCCAGGGATCCGCCAGCCCAGCTCTTGCAGACAGTGCGCGCAACGCGACGCGATCCGCGGCTCGCTCGGCGCCCGTCCGTGTCCGCGGCGTGCTCCCCCGCCACTGTGCCCGCCACGTTCCCCGCGGCCGTCGCGCACTCGCGGCAAGCTTGCCGAGCGCCTGCGGGGCAGGCTCTCGCCAAGCGCGTGCGTCGGCGCGATCGGCGTGGGTACGGAAATGCGTGGGGCACGGGCACGAAGAATCAAGCCCAGGAGGGTATGCAAATTATTCATTGCGTGGAGCTCCCCATATGTGCATCTATTCGCATGGACCTGTGCGCCGTGAGTGTCTAGGCGCAAGAGTTTTCGAGTATAAGCGGGCTTGAGTTGTGACGGTCTGGTCATGAATCTAATTGCGAATGAATTGAAGTGTGAATGAGCCTCAGTAGTACGAGCGCGTCTCTGCGCATGAGCCCGGGGCCTCCTGGGGCCTCTTGAAACCTACTGGGGCCTCCAGGAGCCTCTTGGGGCCTCCTGGGACCTCCCAGGGAGGATTCGTGCCCCAGGAGAGGCCCAATATATAGGAACAGGCGTACATAAAACATTGCGGATTGGAGCCACAGGAGAATGACAATGTATAGGAACACACGTAAAACACCAAGGACTTGTGCCCCAAGAGAGGCCCTATATATAAGGACATGCGTAAAACATTTAGGATTGTGTACACGGGAGAAGGACAATATATATATATATAAACATACGTATAACATCAAGGATTCGTGTTCCAGGTGAGGCCCAATATATATGAGCATACATAAAACACATGGGATTGGAGCCACTCATGTTGCCTTCTGAGGCCTCCTGCTCCTGGGGCCTCTCGGGGCCTCCTGTTGCCTTCCGAGGCCTCCTGGCGCTTCCTGTGGCCTCTTGGAGCCTCTTGTGGCGTCCTGAGACCTCCTGGAGCTTCCTGGCGCTTCCTGGAACCTCTTGGGACATTATGTGGCCTCTTGAGTCGTTCTGTGGCCTCCTGGGACCTCATGTGGCCTCCTGGGGCCTGTTGGAGCCTCCTGTGGCATCCTGAGGAGAATATGTGCCCACGAGTCTGGCCACCAAAACAAGCAAACCGATCGAGACATCCTCAAATCTGTCCCACCTGGGGGGTGAAAATGAGCTCCCCGCCTGAGACATCCTCACAATCTGCTCTCCAAGCGAAGGATGCTGAGACAGAAAGCAGGCAAACCGCTTGAGACATCCCCGCAAAACAGCCGCGAACGGGACCGTGGAATACCCCTCGGCGGCTCCCCTTAGGGGTGCTGAAACCAGCGCCCCGCCTGAGACATCCTCACAATCTGCTCTCCAGGCGAAGGATGCTGGGACAGAAGACAGGCAAACCGCTTGAGACATCCCCACACAACGGCCGCGAACGGGACCGTGCAATACCCCTCGGCGGCTCCCCTTAGGGGTGCTGAAACCAGCGCCCCGACTCAGACTCACAATCTGCTGTGTGTTGAGTAAGTCAGACAAGGTCTGAGTATGAGTAAGTCTGGGTATGAGTGACTCTCAGCAGGAGTAAGTCTGAGCATGAGTTGGTCTGAGTATGAGTCAGTTAATAGGATCAGGTCCGAGTCTGAGCAGGTCTGTGTATGAGCAGGTCTGTGTATGCTGCGTGTCTGTGTATGGAGATGCCAAGCGCGACTTCACAGGCATGACCCTGCCCTGCCGTCGCACTGTCTCCTATGTGGGGAAGCTATCGGCAGCTTGTTCCATCGTCATTTTGTTTGCCCCGCTAGGCTAAGCTGGCGTCGAGACAACCTGCCGCAGGACCTGGATGGCCCAGAGCGGCGTTTGCGGGTAGGGCCAGCGCACTTGCAAGAGAGGTTTGCTAGGGGGATCCTTCCCGACCCTTGTCAAGTTTTCTCCCGACCTGGGTGGAACCCTGAGTGGGAGTTCAAGGTTGAAGGACAAGCGGCGCCGCTGGCGCTAGATGGTGGCCATGTTTTTTTGTGATGGCTCTGGGGTCGATGGTTTCTTCCCGTCCTTTAGGGTTGCTGGTTGGGGTGTGGCGGTTTTCGGCCAAGATCGCCGACCCCTGGCGGGGTGGTTTGGGGCGGTCCCCCCACCACAAGGCCCCGACCAGGTAGCCAAAGACGGGGAGGATTACGCCATCCTGATGGCCTTGAGACACCTAGTAGGCAGGGTTACGATTTATTCCGATTGCGAAGGCACCATTCAACGTTGTCTGAATGCCAGATATGCGCAGAGAGACGGCAACACTCGGGCACACATCTGGAAGGATGTATTCCGTGAAGGAAAGCCCGCTCTGGTGAGTTTTTGTGAGGTGGCGGCCCACACGTCGATGACAGATGTGCGTGAAGGACGGATCAGCCACTTTGAGAGGGAGGGCAATGCCGAAGCTGATCGACTTGCGAAGTTGGGTGCGGAGTTCTGTCGTTGCCCGTCCCATGTGGTTTTGATGACCCAACGCATGCTCCATGTCGCACGCCTGCTCATTCAGTTCACTCGTAGGGCTGAAGGCCACTATGTTCAGGAAGGCAGGTGGGACAACGTGGGAGCCCAAGGGCTCACAGAGATCTCGCTGGAGGGGGGATCTGACTTGGAGGAGGCACTTGTGGCGTTGAGGAGGCAGGAGGGGGGCGGGGGTGAGGCTGCTGCTGCTCCTGCTCCTCATCCCGACCAGCCTCCACAGTCCTCGAGACCTCCATCTGAGCCCTTGGGGCCCGAGCTGCTGGCGATGGCAGAGGATGCCCGCCAGACCCCTGCCTTCATTGGAGGGCATGCCTTGCTTCAGTTCTCGGTTGAAGACAGCCAGCCTCCCGTCCTTTTTTGTTCGACCTGCGGGGGGTGCGCCGCGGTGTCTGCGGGATCCAGAGGCCTTCGCAAGAGCTGTGGAGGGTCCCAGCAGGCCTTGGTGGACCCAGGCAGGAAGAACACTCGGGCTGTCTGCAAGGGCAAGCACCCCAACAGGCCTCTCAAACTGGGCTCTTGGCGAACTCCTGGGGCTTGGGCGCGAGAGCTGATTGGTGGGGTTTCGGAGTCCAAGATGGCCCAGAAGAGAGAAGGAGGTGTCTCCAAGGCCGCTACGGACCCACCTGCACGTGCAATTTTGTGCCTGGCAGATGTCCTGCAAGCGTTTGGGCTCAATGAGTTCGAAGCCGCTGAATTAGGACGGAAGCTGAAGGAGCGAGACCCAGACAACGATCTGGAAGAAGAGCTGGGCGGTTAGATACCCAGGGGGGGGGGGGGCCTGTCGTTGGCCCCTGGCAGGTCTTTGGCCGTCCTGCCAGGGTGACAAAAAGTTCCCCTCGGATGGGCCCCCCTGGGGTCAAATTTTCTCCCCCCTTTTCCCTTCAGTGGCGTGCGATCCTCCTCCTCCTCCTCCTCCTCCTCCTCCTCCTCCTCCTCCTCCTCCTCCTCCTCCTCCTCCTCCTCCTCCTCCTCGGCCGTGAGCGGCGCGGCCTGGGCTTGCTGCCAGCAAGACAGCCCCCCCCCAGGAGCTGCACGCGCACGCCGCCGCCTGGCCCGCCCGCGCGCAGGGCCCAGCCAAGCTCGCCGAGCGTCAGGAGGGAAAAAATCACACAGACACAAAAACTCGTCGATTCCCCGGAAAATATACGTAACTATGGGAAGTGGGGGGGGAGGAAAAAGCCAAGAAAATATACGAAAATATGAGGAAATTGTTTATTTACTCTCGTTTCGCTCATTCCGCCGGCCCATACATTCTCATGTCTGCCGTTTGCCCGACGGCCTGGTGTCAACGCGGCGCTTTGGAGGTTCCTGGGGCCGCTTGGGGGACTCCTGGGGCGCTCGGGGGGGGATTTGGGGGGCCTCCTGGGGCCGCTTGGGGGACTCTTGGGGGCCTCCTGAGGGCCTCGTGGGGGCCTCTTGGGGCCTCTTAGGGGCCTCTTGGGGCCTCGTAGGGGCTTCTTAGGGCCGAGGGCTCGAAATGTTGTTTCGTGTTCCCTCTCTGGGGCCCCTTTGGGGGCGTTCTTGGGGCCCTCTTGGACCGTCTTGGAGGCTTCTTGGGCCGTCTTCGAGCCCTCTTGGGCCATCTTGGGGCCCTCTTGGGGGCCTCTTGGGCCCTCTTGGGGCGATCTTGGGGGCCTCTGGGGCCGTCTTGGGGCGTCGGGAAGCCGAAAAGGTGGAAGCTCAACAATCTTCCAAAAACCCCAGGAAAAAAACAATGAATTTTGCCTCCGGGGGCCCTCTTGGGAGTGCTCTTGGAGGCCTCTTGGGGCGTCTGGGGGCTATCTTGGGCGTCTTGGAGCGATCTTGTGGCATGTCGGACCCCTCGTGTACCATCTTGGGGGCTTTTTGGGGGCCTCTTGGCCTTTCTTGGGGCTCTCGGGGACGTCTCGGAGCCCTGTTGGTGCGCTCGTGGAGCGCTCCTGGAGCGCTCTGGGGGAGTCTCCCGGGGATCGGTCGGGGATCGCCCGGGGTACTTGTCGTCTGGGGACCCCCAGGGGCCGCCCCGCGCGCGCGAACTAGAGAATTGTTAACCAGTTACCGGAGATCTTAGCACGCCTCTGGCCCGTTGGGCCGGCGAATGTGTGTGTGTGTGTGTGTTTGTGTGTGTGTGTGTGTGTGCGTGTGTGTGTGTGTGTGTGTGTTTATTTGTGTGTCCCAGGGCCCCTTCAGAGTGGAAGCGCGGCCTCCTGTTTCAACTATGTCCGCGGGGGCGGCCACGCCCAGCATAGGAAGCCGCGGGCCAGAGCGTCCGCTGGCCCCTCTCCGTTGTGTCGCTGGTGCGACCTCGAGGAGGGAACCCGGACGCACGCGGCGTAGAGATGCGCCTGCTTGACTTGTTGACTTGGCCTCAATGGTTTCCGAGGCTCACTGGCGGACACCACCCCTGCGCACGAGGCATGGCGGCCTGTTCGACCTCGATTGTGAGGTGAGGCCCCCGGCCGAGCCCAGTGCAGCCAAGCCGACCCCTTCTCTGCCATGACCAGGCGTGCTGGCTCGAGCTTCAGGGGGGGAATCTCCAGGCCGCTCGGATGGGGCCAGAGGGAATGAGGTCGGAAGACCACTCCGCATCGCCGACGCATCGGCGATGCGTTGTGGAAGTATCGGCAGTTCGGTGTGCTCGGGCCCCATCTGGGCGGTCTCCAAGAAGACGCCCGGACATGTCACAGCAAGACCGCCGCCGCCCTCGAGAATATCCCGACGGGGTGATGGCGAGCCTCGCGGGCGTCCAGCTCCCAGCCGTTCGCGCGCACTCCTTGCGACGTGGCCCCGTAGCGGCGTGGGCGGAGGCGCCCACCGCGTCGCCCGCGCCGAGGCAGATTTCGATCCCCAGGACTCGAAGGGGAGCAAAAACCGGTTCAAGCATAAAACCCCCGGTGCCCCGATCGAATTTTTGGGCTCGGCGCGGGGTGCCACCCTGGCGGTGTTGGCCGCTCCGCCCCCTGGTGCGCTGCGAGAGAGCCAGACAGGAGGGCCAGGCGCCGATCCGAGAAGTCCGCGTGGAGCCCCGAAATATATAGTCTGCGCCGGCATTGGCGCGTAAGCTGCCTGCGCAAGGTCGCGCGCAAGCGCCCTCGCTTCCAATGTAGCGTGCCGCGCCGGCGGCCCGCGTAAGCCGCGGTGCAAGGCCGTTTCTGCTCGTCGCTCTTGTGGCGTTTCTTCGAAGGATGGCCGGCGGGCGCCCCGGCGCGGGCAGGTGGCTCCAGATCAGCGCCTTCGACCCCGAGAGGGTCCGAAGGGCCAGCGGACTCCAGTCCCCCAGGCCTCCGCCAGTGGCGGCCCCGTGGACTCTCAACGGCGACCTTCCCTACATGACGAGGCCCGCCATGAGGACCCCCGGCCAGGGGCTCGCCCCGCTCAGCGGCACGTCAGGCCTCGAAGGAGTAACACCTGTATGCAGTGGAGGCCCATGCCAAGAAACACCCTGCTTGCCTCCAGGGTGCCCTGAGTTCCTCGGGTTCGAAGGTTTTGCGATGGAGAGCGCGACGTTCCCCACGCCAAAAATCCATGGACGTCCTGGGGTCTCAGGGTTGGATTTCTTGTGGAAGGTTTCTTGTGGTCGGGCCCCCACTGTAAGCATGCACTCTTGGAGCTCCGCGTGGATGTCTCGGATCGGTGCTGGGACCAACCTGGCGGCGCCTCCGGCGCCGCCCCGGGGTCGTGCGCCGATCTCCGACATCCGCGCGGACCTCGGACGACAGCTCATGTTTATGCAGGTCTTTGTTCCCCTGAGGCCGGCTCGTGGCCGAGGCGCTCACGGCGCCCGAGCTGCCCACGGTGCAGCTGGCCAGCAGCCGCGCGACGAGCTACCAGCCGAGCGACACCGCGTCGATCTCCGGCCTCTCCGCGGAGTCCCGGAGCCACTCCAAGGCGAGCGCCGTGACCCATCGGGCGGGCGCGAGGGCGCGCGAGGCGGAGCAGCCGGGCGCCTCGCCGAGACCCGCCAGTGCCACCGGCGTGCCGCCGGCGACCTGCCACGGGCCGCCCGGCCCCGACGGCCGCGGGGAGGCCCCGAGCGGCGCGGGCCCAGGCCACGTCGGCGGCGAGCTGGCCGGGCCCAGGCGCCCGCGAGAGGCGGCGCCCGCCCGGGCCCGCCCCGGCCAAGCCCGGAGGTCGGAGCAGCAAGCGCGGCAGAAGCACGAGCTTCCGGAGCTCCGCGCAGAGTTCTCGGATCGGCGCTGGGGCCCCCCTGGCGGCGCCTCCGGCGCCGCCCCAAGCGCCCCGCGCGCCAGGGAGGGGGGCCCAGCGCCGATGCCAGATATCCGCGCGGACCTCCGAGAAATGATGCTTGTGCCATCCGTGGTTCCGCTGCCGAGGTCGCTGTCTGCGAGGGGCAGCAGGCGCGCGCCCTCCGCCCCCAGCTGGGGCCCAGCTTCGCTCCAGACAGCCGCAGAGCAGCCCCACTCCCGTGGACGCCTGGGAGCGCGGCCCGACGCGTGAGCTGGACCCGACGTGATGGGCAAATGTTCCACCACCACCACCATATGTCGGACGGGGGAGAAGGGAGGATGAGGAGGTCCTCCTCCTCCTCCTCCTCCTCCTCCTCCTCCTCCCTCTCCTGCATGTGGTGGCGGTGGTGGAGAAGGGGCCCATCGCGACGGGCAGCCGCCAGGCCACCCCCGCGACCACCCGGGCGGGCCTTGGCCGGCCGACCCCTGCGACAACCCGCGTGGACGGGCCACGAGAAGTATTTCAGTCGGGCCAGTCCCGCTGCAGTCGAGCAGTGGCGAAGCGTCCTGGCTCGCCTGCAGCCCTACCAGACTCGGGCATGGCCAGGACTCCGGGTGAGGGGACCCGCGTAGTGGTAGGGCCCCGGAGCCTTCGAGCTGGCCAGAAGCACTAGACCAGGTTTGCCATAGCTGGTGTTTTTTCGGGTGACGGCAGTTCCGGTTAGTGGAAATGGGACGGGGGGGCGCCCCCGGTACAGATCACTAAACCAGGTTCCACTAAACCCAGTTCTACCAACGTCCGACAAACAATGTTCCAAGAACCTTTTGTGGTGTCCACGAAATGCTCTCAGAGCATGTCTGGTTGAGATGGTCTTGCTTTACACATCGGGCTTATGTTCTAAGAACATTGCCTTTGCTCTTTGAACATTTTTGAGTTCTGAGAACATTTCGTGGTGGGACTATAGGAATGCCGGGACAGTCGGTCCCTGCTCAATACAGGGGGAAATGCAAAAATAGTCAAAACATAGTCTTGGGACTATTTTTTCATTATTTTTGATATGTGCTTACTCTGGGTTTCTCGCTAAGCGTGGGGGGGGGGATACCCCCCCGACGGGGCTCACACTCGCCTCGTCGTCGCGCCGCGACGGGGGTCGGAGCGCCTCCGGCGCGCGGTGGCCGCCCGCGACGGGGGTCGATGTGGGGCTGTCGGCGGGTGTGGCGCCCCCCCGACGCTTATGAAGAAACTCGGAGTAAGTTTGGGTATATGTTTTGTGATTTTTGAGATTTTTGTGATTTTTGTGATTTGCGACGCTTATGTTTTGTGATTTTTGTGATTTGTCCTCCGACATCCGCCTGTAGGACGACACGCTCGACCTCACACCCGGATGCGGCCAGCCACCGAGTCTGGCGACCGCGCCTCCGGCGCTTACGCCCCCTGCCGATCTTGAACGCTTTTTGCCCTCTGCCGCACCGAGGTTTGCGGCCGCGCCTCCGCCGCTTGACACCTTGTCGATGTCGGACCCCCCGCGGGCAGACTTCGATCACTGCAGCGCCGGAAGTATGGCGGTGAAGATGTATGGTTGGCTTGCTCGGCCCCCCCGGGGTTGACCACGCTCGTCGCGGCATAAATGCTCGAGCTGCGACGGTTTGAAGGAACATGCAACGAAGACGCCTGGCAAGCGGCCCCGTCTTCCTCCTGATTTGCCTCCCTTTGCCGATGATCCTCAGGCGTGAGGCCACCAGATGCTCGGTTAAGATATTCGGAAAGCACGCGTCGATCGCGTTTTCTTTACAGACTCTGTGTGCGATCAGTCCCCCGCCCTGCGCCCGACGGCAGGAGTAGAGGCATACGTCTGCGAGTGCTGTGAGGTCTTCAGCTCGTCCCGCGGACTCCAACCCCACCAGTGCGCTAAACACGGGAAGCGGAATGAAGGAATTTTCTAAGTTTCCGGGTCCAAGCGCTCATGTTGTGGCATTAAATTTGTCTCCCGCTTCCGCATTTTGTCTCACTTATCCGTTTGACTTGACGGCTATTGTCGTGACGCCGAGCAGGTAGGTTGCAGCTATCATATTGCCACGGTTCCTGCTCGACGAATGACGGGTTCTAGGCCGCGTCTCCTCCTGACTGCTATGCTCGTGATTAGTACATCATTTGTGCAAGCCTGTACAGTCAAGGTGGTGTTTGCTTTGAACGACCATTCCTTGTATAATACAAGAACATATGTATACACATCAACGTATTCATGTACCCTTTAATGCCTCACTTAGATGCTGCTTATTATGTGGAGCTTCGTGTTGTCTCCTCCTCTCGTGTCCTTTCGCTGGAGGTCCACCTCTGAGGCTCTCGGGAGGCTCTCAGAAGGCTCTCGGAGGTCAAAGAGGTGCCAGGCACATCCGAACATTTGATCCGCTGGCTCCCTTGTGGGGCCACCAAGCCGTAGGCCGAAGCTGCTGCTCCCTGCGCCGGTTGCAGTTTCAAGTTTCCATTGTTAAGTCCGCGCGAGGGGAGGGAGCCCCAAACCAGCAATTTACCACACCCGAGTCGCGTTGCCTGAATTCCTGGGGGGACGGGGGGGGCGGGCACGAGAGCATACTTGAGATACGCGCTGCCGATGCCATACCCCCCTGTAAAGTACACAAGATTCGCGTCCCCGAGGTCATTCATCCTTGAAAGTTGTCCAACATGTTTGCGTCCCCGAGGTGACGAACCTTTTTGTAAGTTATGCAAGATTCGCGTCTCCGAGGCCATAAACCTTCTCAACTTACGCCATATTTGCATTGCCGAGGCCAAGAGTGTTCCAAGGCGCCCGAGGATGGTTCCAAGACGGCCCAAGAGGGCCCCAAGAGCTCTTCAAGAGGCTTCCCGAGAGAGGCCCAAGTTGCCAAGGGACCGACATCGTAGATTTTACAACGGTGTTTGAAGGATCTTGGCCTTCTCGCATCTTCGGCTTTCCTACGCTCCAAGACGGCTCAAGAAGCTTCCAAGACAGCCCCAAGCCAGCCCAAGAGGCCTCCAAGAGGGCCCCAAAGCGGCCCGAGAGGGTTCCGAGATTGCCCAAGAAGCGCTCACGACGTCCCAGGAGGGCCCCAAGGCGGCCCCAAGAGGGGCCCACGCAGGAGACCACGAACCGAGAATCTAATATTTGTGCGCCGAGAAGCCCCCAGGAGGCCCAAAGATGTCGCCAAGAGGCCCCAAGAGGTCCCAAGAGGCGCCCAAGACGCGCTCAAGAGGCCTCCAAGAGGCCCAACAGATCCCCTACGAGGCCCCAAGAGGCGCCCAAGCCGCCTCCAAGAGGCCCCCGAGAGGCCCCCCACGACGTCCCAACACATGAACAAGAGGCCTCAGACCCACAACCCAGGCACAGTGGCGGGATGGGCCGAAGGTCACTAGGATCTGCCGCCCGGGTGCCCGGCGTGCTACATCCTGCTGCTCTTGGTTTTTGGGTTATTTTTCCACAAGGACTCTCCCTGGTGTATCGGCCTTTCCTGCCAGCCACCCGAAAGAACCCACAAGGCGCTCAGTTCCTGGAAACATTCCCCCAAGACGGCTCAAGATTGCTTTCAAGATCGCCAAGGTGGTCCAAGATGGCCTCCGAGATGCTTCCAAGATGGCCAAGATGGCCTCGACGACGCCTACGATGGCCCCAAGATGCCTCATTGACGGCCCAATATGCATACAAGGCAGCCTAATATAGCCTCAGGATGGCCCAAGACGGCCCAAGAGGCCCCCAAGAGTCCTCCAAGACGGCCCAAGAGGCCTCGAAGATGTCCTCCAGGAAGGCTCGAGGCGAAACTAGCTGATTTTCCTTAGGCTTTTGACTGATTTTGTCATTTGCTTCTTATCTGCCTTCCAACGGTCCCTGTCGGCCGAAGAGCCCCCACTGATCTGCCCAACATCGCCAGAAAAGCTTCCAAGATGGCCCCAGGAAAGGCCCAAGAGGTCACAAAGACGGCCCCAAGAGGGCCCCAAAATGGCCCAAGGGCCTTCCAAACTTCCAAGATGGCCTCCAAGACGTCCCTGGGGCACCCCAATAGGACCCCAAGTCGGCCCAGAGAGGCCCCAAGACGGCCTCCGACGGCGTCAGACGGGCCAGGAGGCCACCAAGACGGCCCAAGATGGCTCCAAGATGGCCCAAGGGCCTTCAAGAGGTCTCCAAGACGGCCCAATAGGCCTCCAAGAGGGCCTCCAGGAAGGCTCGAAGGGACCAAAATAATTGACTTTGATTTTCATGATTTTGTCATTTGCTTCTTTTCTACTTTCCAACGGCCCGTGTCGGCCCAAGAGCCCCCACAGATCGCCCCAAGATCGCCAAAAAAGCCTCCAAGATGGCCCCAGAACGGCCCAATAAACTCCTTAAGACGGCCCCAAGATGGCCCCAAGACGGCCGAACAAACCTGGAAGACGCCCAAGATGGCCTCCAAGACGGCCCAGAGAGGCCCTGAAGACGGCTTCCGACGGCGCCAGACTGGCCAGGAACCCACCAAAACGGCCCAAGATGCCTCCAAGACGGCCCAATAGGCCTCCAAGACGTCCCCAAGACGGCCCAGCAGGCCCCTAAGAGAGCTTCCTAAGGCCCGAAGATGCCAACATCTCGAGTGTTTTCCGGTGTTTGAAGAATCTTGTGATTTTCTTCTTTGCGGACTTCCGACGGCCCGAGACGGCCCAAGAGCCCCCAAAGATCGCCACAAGATCGCCCAAAAAGCTTCCAAGATGGCCCCAGAACGGCCCAAGAGGCCACAACGACGGCCCCAAGAGGGCCCCCAAACGGTCTAAGAGGCCTCGAAGACGCCCAAGGTGGCCTCGAAGACGGCCCTGGGGCACCCCAAGAGGACCCCAAGTCAGCCCAGAGAGGCCCCCAAGACGGCCTCCGACGGCGTCAGACTGGCCAGGAACGGCCACAGAGGCACCCGAGAAGCCCCCAAAGGCTTCCAAGAGGCCGAAGGAAGCCCCCAAGATGCCTCCAAGAGGCTCCCAGGAAGCTCCTAGGAGCCTCCTCCTCCTCCTCCTTCTCCTCCTCCTCCTCCTCCTCCTCCTCCTCCTGCTGATCTTCCCCGCCATCCTCCCCCAAGTGTTCCTCGAATGGTTTCCACAACGGCTGGGGTAACACATGGTCCGCTAGCTTGGCAGAGCTCTTGCCACAACGCTCGGCCACATGGAAGATTACAACATGCAGGGGGCGGCGGTGATTCGCCGTAGGCGTCTTCGTGACGCCAACGTCTCAATATGCGCTGATGATTCCTATCCGCCCCCGCATGATGTTCCCAGATGCGCCAATGCAGCGCCGAGACGCACCGACGCGACTCTGATTTATCCCATTATGATAGGGAGCTGGCGGCAGGGGGCAAAGCCCTTACGGATTATTTGAAGTTTGTCTTGAAGCCCCGTCCCCGAAAATCCGACGTGGTGTCTGTTCAAAATGCCAGTGCTTTTGTGGTCGTTCTCCATTACTACTCGCATCCTTCGGTCTTGTCCTACCTACTAATGTCTCGCATGCTTCCTCATCTCGCTGTGCTATTTCTGCTAATGTGTTCCACTTCACCCTCCTCGTCCTTGAGATGTCCCTCCCACTCCTGCTTCCTGCTCCCTTCATCCGTCGTATTGACCTCACCCTCCTCCTCCTCCTCCTCCTCCTCCTCCTCCTCGTCCTCCACCTCCTCTTCCTTCTCCTCCTTCTAGCTCTTCTCCACCTCTTCCCCCTTCCCTTGTTTTTCCTCCTCCTCCGTCCCCTCCCCAGGCGGGGCCCCAGTCGAGGTGAGCAGGAGGGTCCCGGGCTCTCATACTGCCCATCCACACCCCGCGTTGCCCTGCGGCCGCCGGGCCCCCCCTGAGGCGCCACACTTCCCCTCGTGCCCCGGGAAGGGGGCCCAGCTGCAGCCTCCCCTTTTTTCTGCGGATGCCCGCTCCGCAGACCTGTAGGGTTGGCGCAGGCGGTCCTTCCTGTTGTCGCGGCGGAAGAGCTGGGGTCGTCACGGGGGGGCGTGCCCCCTGGTTGTCTCTCGGACCGAGTTTCGCCGTACAGTGAGCGGCTTGAATAAGGAACACTTAGTTTCTCAAAAGGGGCTCGGTCGTTCCTCGGGCTTGCATGCGTCATTTCTCGTTCCTTATGAATGCGTTATGTATGATGTATCGTTCCTTATGCGCTATTCCTTGGAAAAGAGGAGCTTCCTTCCTTATTCATCGTTCCATGGGTCAGGCCGATGACTGTAACGCTGGTGGCGCTGGACCCCCGCGACAGGTGGGGAGCTGTCCCCCAGCCATCCCTGTACCTGTACGGGAGGCGCCGCTAAAGGGGATACCCGCGGCCCCGCCAGACGCCTTCCCAGGCCACCACCACCACCACCACCAGCCAGGCCTCTCCTTCTCTCCCTCCCTTCGTCAATCCATCCTCCTCCTCCTCCTCCTCCTCCTCCTCCTCCTCCTCCTCCTCCTCCTCCTCCTCCTCCTCCTCTCCCTCCTCCTGTGCCTGCTCGTTACTTACCTGCTCCCTTTCCTCCTCCGTCTCTCCAATAATTACACAGGGTAGGCCACTCAATGCAAACAACGCCCCCCGCTTTGTGCACAGCGCGGGCAACTTCACGGAAATTCCAAAACAAATATCTGAAGTCAGTCCTAATACCACGAAGCCTACGCATCGCTCTATGATTTCCAGTACGAAAATAATGTGCTTCGTTCACATATTGCCAGGGAGAACCTCCCGTGCCGAAGTGCCCGCTGGGAAGTGCCCAGCGGTCAGCGCGGTCGCGGTCGCGTCGGTCTCGCCGCACTAGCTGGCCGCTTCGCGCGCGATCATGCGCGGGCTTGCGCGGCTGCAGAGATGCGCCAGCCAGCGCCAAACGGGAGGGGGGGTGGGGGGGGAGGTGTTCGAACCCCCCCCTCCATCACGGGAGGGTGGGGGGGTTCGAACCCCCCCCCACCTCCATCCCCCGCCCCGGGAGGTCCCGTTTCGCATGGTGTCGGGCCCCTTGAGGCTTCTCTCAGGAGGTCCCGTTTGGCATGGTGTCGGGCCCAGGGGCCGCCACCGGGGGGGGGCGTCAATAAACGCCCCGTCCGCGGCGGATGGTCTCCCGTGGGGAATCGGGGCTAGATTCTCCACGGGAGACCCCCCGCCGCGCCGCCAGATGTGCCCGGGCCCTCTGTTGCAGGTCGTCCGAGCGACGGAGGGATGCGGGGTCGATTGCGCCGACGTTGGCGCGGAAGTTGCCCGCCTCAGGCCGTGCGCAAGCGCCCTCGTTTCCGCTGTGACTGCCGCGTGGGCGGCCCGCCTATGTCACCGCGTGGGGTCGCTATGTCATTTTGCCCAAGACCCCCTTCAGTTCGTCGCGCATTTATCGAAGGAGGAAAATGGCACAACTACCAGAAACTGTCGGAGCTCCGCGCGGATGTCTTGGATCGGCGCTGGGGCCCCCTTGTCAACGCTTCTGGCGCCCTCCCTGGCGCTCCGCGCGCCGCCAGCGCGGATCCAAGAATCCGCGTGGAGCTCCGACAAACTATGTTCATGCAGTTCTATGTCTAGATATACACAAACACATATACACACGGTTTTGAACTGACTGCAAGGGCTTTCGATGCGAGGCTAGCCGACTCACTCGTCACGCTGCGCGAGCTTGACCTCTTGCTTGGGCATGGTGGCTCTATGTATCACCCACTCTGATGCCGCGCTATCGGGCGGGGCGACAAGTTGATCTTTTTCGATGATGGGGAAGAGGACTCACTCCAGGGCACCCTCCTCGCCAGAAACGCCGGTAGCCGCTCCGCCAAAGCTGCCAGTTCTCGTTGCCCGCGCGTTGGCCTCCCAAGTTTCGCAAGGCAGCCATTCGCTCCCAGCGCGGTTCCGGCCCGCTGCGTCAGTGGATAATTGGTTGGAAGAGGTACCGGCAATGTGTGACCTTATCGTGGCCTCACATCGCCAGGACATACGGTTTGTCGCCGTGGCCCTCGTCCAGCCCGCCACGCCCGAGTGCTTGTGCAGTGTGTGCAGTGGCTTGCCCTCTGGCCCGGGTCGGCAGTGAGCCCATCCAGCGAGGCTTCGCTCGCCGCTCGCCGCTTGCTCTACGTCTACACCATGGGCGGGCAGTGCGTTCCCGTTGTCCGTTCCCCTCCCCTTTCCCCGCTCCCCGCTTTCCGTGCCCGCGCTTCCAGTTTCCCCGGCTCCCTCTTCTTCGTCCTCCTCTGTTTCTCTCATACTCCTCCTGCCCCCTGTTTCTTTTTTTCCGCGTCCGCCCGAACTCCGTGCCAGGCTGTCGCACGCGTCTTCGGGCACATGGTGGCGCAGATGGCCTCGTTCGTCAATTCACTACGCGGGCGATAGCGCTATCGAGGGGTTCGTCCAACAGGCCTCCCAGGAATTCGCGCACCTACTCGGAGTTTCGAGGAAGCGAGAACATGGATTAAGGCTCGTGGATGAGCGACGGGCCCGTTTCCATACGAACTCGACCCGCTCCGTCGCCAAATGCGGTGACGCCGGTCTCCTGTTTCGCGGGGTACTGTTCCCGATCTGGGGATCTGGCGCCCACGCGCCAGATCCACGGATCCCTCATCCGTGTCAGCGTGTGTCCGACAGTGGCCCCTTCTCCGGGTCTCTTCGGAGCGCTCTCGGGGGCACCTCGGGAGCAGTTTGGGGGCCTCTTGGGAGCCTTTTGGGGGCCTCTTGAGGGGCTTATTTGGATTCTTGTGGGGGCCTCTTGGGGCCTCTTGGGGGCCTCTTGATGGCCTCGTGGGGCCTCCTAAGGGGCTCCTCGGGGCCGAGGGCTCGAAATGTCGGTTCGGGCTCCCCCTCGTGGGGCCCTCTCGGGAGGCCTCTTGGAGGCTCCTTTGGGCGTTGGAGGCCTCTTGGCCGTCTGAGGGCCATCTTGGGCGTCTTGGACCGATCGTTCGGCGACTCGGGGCCCTCTTGGGCTGTCTTGGGAGCCTCTCGGGGCCCCCTGGGCCCAGCTTGTGGCCTCTTGGCTCCGATCAAGTCACGCGAGGAGCCCCACGGGGCACGCGACAAGCCCAAGAAGATTTGGCAGTTTGGGGCTCGGAGCAGGAGCAGGAACAGGAGCAGGAGGAGGAGGAAGAGGAGGAGGAGGAGGAGAAGGAGGAGCAGGAGCAGAAGCAGGAGGAGGAGGAGGAGGAGGCCCTTGAAAAACTGTTCAGGAGCGCTTGAGGGATTAGGCAAAGGATCTTTTTGCCGGCATGCGGCATATATCAGAAGGTCTCACGCATCTTCAGTGCACTGGTTTTGCGCTCCGGAAAGCTCGAAGCTTACAGCATCAGAATCGTGCATTGCCCTTTCTTGAGCGTGCGACCTAAATGGTCGATGTCAGCATGTAGTTGAGTTTAAAGCCGCGGTTGCAGTCTACAGTTTACAGCGAGCATTGGCAATCTCGCTGTGCGTTGACGTGTGGTAGAATATGTTTGCAATGTCCAGCCATATTAGCCAGATGTTTTTGCGGACTGTTGGCCGCGGTCGCAGCGACCTACGAGCCATGCTTGCGCTGCACGCTTTCTCATGGCACCAGGCCCGAATCGGCGGAAAAGATAGGCGACCAAACGAAATCGGTGATCGAAGCCGTGCTTGAAGTTGTGACCGAAAACGTAGTGTGAGCGAAATTGAAAACCGTCTTGGCATCGAACCAGAAACCGTCTTGGCATCGAACCAAACATTTTCTGTCTCACTCGGGCGCGACCGGAAAACATCGGCGCTAGTTTGGTCACATTGGGGCAGATTATCGGGCACAGTTTCAGTGACGATGCCTCCCTGATAGAGACGAGGTTACTTGACGTGTGTACATGTGTATGTATATATAAACTGGTATGTGAGCCAGCGTGGACCCCAAACAGCGTGTTTCTAGCAATCTCTGTGGTGCAGTAATATATATATGTATGTATATGTATATATGTATATACATATATATATATATATATATATATATGTATGTATGTATGTATGTATGTATGTATGTATGTATGTATGTATGTATGTATGTATGTATGTATGTATGTATGTATGTATGTGTGTGTATGTATGTACGTATGTATGTATGTATGTATGTATGTATGTACATACATAAATACATACATACTCATATATTTGTATACATATATATATATATATATATATACACAACGCGGGACCAGGTCCGGGGCCGGGAGCGGACGCCTCGACCGCAAATGCGTGGCCCGGGCGGCATGTTCTTTTATTTTTTTTACATGGTTTCGGCGACCCGGGGCCAACAGGGCCCCAAGAGGCTGCGGGGAGGCCCCAGGAGGCTGCAGCGATGGCTCCAGACGCCTTTCAAGACGACTCCCATGACGCCAAGAAGGCCCCCGAAGGCCCCGAAGACGCCCCAAGAGAGCCCCAAGAGAGCCCCAGGACGAGCCCCAGAGGGGTCCAACCATATTCAAATTCCGCGCTTTCGGCCCCAGAGGCTCCCAGGAGGCCCCAAGAGGTCCCCAGGAGGCCCCAAGAGGCCCCCTAGAGGCCCCAAGAGGCCACCTAGAGACCCCCAGGAGGCTCCCAACAGGCACCCCAATAGAGCCCCAATTACGCAAACATCGTCGATTTCCTATAGGAAAACTGATATGTTTGGCGTGTTCGCCTTTTGGGCTCAACCGAAAATGCGAGCCATTTGGCCCAGGAGACCCCGAGAGGCTCCAGGAAGCGCCCAGGAAGCCCCCCAAGGGGTACTCCAATAGAGCTCCAATGAGCAAACACCGTCGATTTCCGATGGGAAGAGACACCCCAATAGAGCCCCAAATAGCAAACATCGTCGATTTCCGATGGGGAAACGGATATGTTTGGCGTGTTCGTCTTTTGGGCTTCCATTGCGTCCAAGACGGCCCAAGAGGCACCCAAGACGGTCGAGGATGCCACCAAGAGGGCTCCAAGACGGCCCACGAGGGTGCCAAGACGGCCCACGAGACGCCTAAACCGCTCAACAACGCCACAAGTCGGCGCCCAAGACGGGGACGAGGAACCGAAAATGCGAGCCATTTGGCCCAAGAGGCCCCCAGGAGACCCCAAGAGACTCCAAGAAGCGCCCAGGAAGCCCCCAGAGGCCCCCAAGTGACCCGCAAAAACACAAAAGGAGTTCCCGAACACGCCCCAAGGGGCACTCCGAGAGAGCCCCAATAAGCAAAAATCGCATATTTCCTACAGGAGAACAAATGTTTTTGCAGCCCAAGGGGCACCCAAGACGGTCGAGGATGTCCCCAAAGAGACCCCAAGACTGCCCACGAGGCGCCCAAACCGCCCAAGAACGCCCCAAGGCGGCGCCCAAGACGGGGACGAGGAACCAGAAATTCGCGCTTTTTGGCACAAGAGACCCCCAGGAGACCCCAAGAGGCTCCAAGAAGCGCCCGCTCCCCAAGAGGCCCCCATGAGATCCCCCAAGAGGCATCCCAACGGAGCCCCCCCCGGCCCCAGGTGCCACACCTCTCCGTGACATCTCGGGAACGCTCCTGGTACCGCTCCCCCGGGCGTTCCGGGGGTCCGGGGGGCTTCACAGCGCTCCAGGAGGGCCCGAGACGCCTCCCAGGAGCCCCCAGAATGCGAAAGGATTGTCCAAAACGCTCCCAAGCAGCACAAGTCAGCCTTCCGACGGCTCTCGAGGCTCCCAGGTAACCTCAAGACACCCCAAGAGAGGTCCGAGAGGTGTCCCGGGACGGCCCGAAGAGGCCAAAATCGTAGACTTTCAGTTGTTTGTTTTTCAATGTTTTTGGCTTCTCGCGTTTTCGAGCTTCCAGCGGTCCAAGAGCGCCGACGAGGCTCCCAAGACCACCCAAGAGACCCTCAGGATGGCCCCAAGACGGGCCAAGAAGGCTCCAAGACTGCCGAAGAGGCGCCCAGGACAGCCCCAGACCCCAGAGCAGGCCCAAGATGGGGCCAAGAGCTGGAGCAGGAGGCTTCCAGAAACCTCCGAAAGGCCTCCGGGACCACCCAGAGGCCCCCAACACACCCCCGATCCCTGAGAGGCTCCAGAAAGACCCCGACGAGGCTCCAAGAACAACCCAAGAGAGCTGCGAGAGCCGTTCCGAGAGAGCCCAAAGAGGGTAAAATCGTTAATGTCCCATGGTTTCTCTAATGTTTTTCGCCTTCTCACGTTTTCACGCTTCCAACCCTCGAAGATCAAGGATTTTTAAACAATAGGGAATTCCCAGAATCCCCCCTTTATTTTTGAAAGTGGGACTCCTACTCGGGGGTCCTACACATCCCCTGACATCTGGCCGGTACCGCGCGCCCAACACGCTCCCGCGCAGCCCGCGACTTTCTTCCGACGGCTCTCCAGGCCTCCAGGAGGCCTCCAGAACCCCCATGGGGTCCAGAAGATCCCACACCCCTGAGGGGCCCGTCTAACAAAACCTGCGAGGCACAAACAAACAACAGCGCCGAAAAGCGCCGAGGAACTGGAAAATCATTAAAATCCTACAATTCCAATGTTTTATTGAAGTTTGGCCCCCTGTCTACTCTTGCACAACAGACCACAATTCAGACCCCCCTCACCTCCCCCCAAAAAACCCAGCACGCCTATGAGGGCCCCGAATCGTTGAATACCTAAAGCAAATTAATGATTTCTGCGTTTCCGCGTTTCCCCTGCTATGCGATTTCGAGGCTTGCGCAGGGCCTCCAAGGGAGTCCCTGGACGCAAGAAGCGACCAGAATGAGATGACATGAGTTAGCCTATCAGCTAGAACTTGAGCGCGCGCGAAGCGCGCGATGGTTTTAGTGTGTGTGTAGTTTTATGCATAAATATACATGTGTGTGTGTGTGTGGAGCAGTACCTGTGGGGGCAATCTATGTTGTGTAACATATGCTGTGTAAACTATGGTGTGCAGTAAGAGTGGCGCGACCTATGAGCTACAGTGTATGGGGAGCTATCCAGCTGGAGTAATCTACGTAGCACCCCGCAGTTGCGGATAAGAGTGAGGCGGCGGGGAGGACGTCGTCAGTCTGCGAGGCTCTGAAGAAGCCCGCCGCAGGCGCCTAACCCTTAAAATGATACACTGAGCCTTCCGCAGGCGCCGATTTTTGTTAAAGCAATGTGGGTGGATAGCGGGGTGGGTCGCGGGTGTGTCGCGGGTGGGTCACGGGTGGATCGGGCCGGGTCGTGGGTGGGTCGCGGGTGGGTGGGTCGCGTTGCGGGTGGATCGCGGGGTGGGTCGCGGGTAGGTCGCGGGCTGGGTCGCGGGCAGGTCGCGGGTGGGTCGCGGGCAGGTCGCGGGTGGGTCGCGGGTGTGTCGCCTGTGGGTCGCGGGTGGGTCGCGGGCCGGGTCGCGGGTGGGTCGCGGTGGGTCGCCGCGGTGGGTCGCGGTGGATCGCGGGGTGGTCGCGGGGTGGGTCGCGGTGTGGGTCGCGGGTGGGTCGCGGTGGGTCGCGTCGCGGGTGGGTCGCGGGTTGGGTCGCGGGTTGGGTCGCGGGTTGGGGCGCGGGCTGGGTCGCGGGGTGGGTCGCGGGTGGGGGTGGGACGAAGGGTGGGTCGCGGGGGGTTCGCGGTGGGTCGCGAGTGTGTCACGGGTCGGGTCTCGGGGTGGGTCGCGGGGTGGGTCGCGGGGTGGGTCGCGGGTGGGTCGCGGGGTGGGTCGCAGGGGGGACCGCGACAACAAACAACAACAACAACAATCATTTTACCCTCATGCGCCATGCTTCCACATGACACATGCATCCATCTGGATAACACACCCCATCATGGGGGATTTTTCTGGCATGCGGGATCCGATATTCCCTCACCCAGATATCCCGCCCAAGAAGGTTTGGCCACCACCTCTTCCGAGGAACTTCAACATCCATAGCTCGGACGGCACATCGCCTTCGCAATCGCCTTGCGCATGCCCCGCATCTCAGAGGGAGAGGAAGAGGAAGAGGAGGGGGAGATGAGAGAGATAGGGAGGGGGAGGAGGAGAAGGGAGGGGGAGGAGGGGGAGGAAGGATGAGTAGTTGTAGTAGCAGCAGTTGATGATATTGTTGTTGCGGCTGCAGCACTAGTAGTAGTGGTAACGGTAGTAGTAGTCCAAGTAAGTAGAACTGGCTTGTGGCAGCCAAGCGTTCATAGCGACGTTGCTTTTTTTTGATCCTCCTTTAATGTCTTCTCTCCCTATCCTTGAGACGCAGAAGTTTCAAAAAGTTTGATGGTTCAGCACATCCAGGAAACCTATCGTTGGACCGGCCCAGATATGGTTCCAGAAGCGGCTCGGGAAGCTGCGCGGGCGCTAGAAGCAGAGAAGCACCACCCACGGGCGCCGGCTCGGGCGTCCGGCCCAAAACCGCTCCAGAATCGGCCCAGGACGGCTTCCCGGGCGCCGCAAGCAGAAATTCAGCATTTTCGAAAGAAAAATGTGTATTGGAATGGCCTCTATTCGGCGCGATCGGAACTGCCCGGGCGTCCGGCCCGGGAGCCGGGCCGGGTGCCGGCCGGTGGATAGGGTCACGGGCATGTCGGGGATCAGATTAAGAATGATGAAAATGGTTTCCTCATGGTTCTACGCCGCTTGCGGGCCGCGCGGTGCTGAAGTTGAAAATGGTTCATGGTGGTTTTGAAAATGGCCGCGCGCGGGTTTCAAATAGTTTCGGCGTCAAACTAGCAGCTTGGCGCGC